CTCTCTCTCTCTCTCTCTCTCTCTCTCTCTCTCTCTCTCTCTCTCTCAAACTGCCAAAGCAGAGCCGTGAATAGAGCCTTGCATTTCTGCATCAGGACTTTGTCTCTGTCGGGCGAAGGCTGTTTTCACGGATGCTGCTTGAGGGCGTGTTTGGTGCTTTTATATGTTGTGACTTTGACAGTGACATTGACCTATACTGGCGTTCAGGCTTTTATGGAGTAAACAGCCGCAAGAATTAAGGCGCAGTATGAATGGGGCCATGTGTGCAATCCGGTATTTGAATGCCAGTGTTTATAGGTACAGTATGTGTTTTCATAATCTGAAATCTGACCCCTGTCTTCAGTTTCCGGACAACAGGGGTCAGATTTCAGATCAAGAAAAGAGGTGCAAGATACATTTTCCTGTGGCACTGATGCTTTAAGTACAAAGCTGCAGACGCTTCAGGTCTGTTTAGTTGAATGTTTATTTGCTCTGATAAAGCATTGACGTACAGCTGGCACGAACACACTGCAAAGATGTGGCTTAGAAGTATCTGGCTGTGGTAGGTGTACCATTATAGCACAATTTAACATAATGTTATTTCCGATTAGTTGGGTTTGAAGTTCACCAGAGTCTTGAGATGCCAAAAAAAGATGGATAAAAGGAAAAACAAATGATTGAACTAAATTACTCAATCATTTTGGATTCAGTTGGATGTATAGGGGTGGAGGCCCTAGTTAAACTGGCAAAATATTTAGCAGTCACACTGCTAATTGGATATTTTCTGCCTTTAAAGTGGAAGTCTTAGTATATCTAGGACTATATAAGGAAAAGTCTCAATTTGTATCTAAAAGAGCATTTTTGTGCTCATCATCCTCAACCCATCCTCCCACATCTCGTTCCATTTACCCCCGTTATTACGCCTCTCCCCTTTCCATCGCCCCCTCCTGCGTGAAGCTAAACTGTCGGCTGTGGAGAGCAGTAACTGCATGTGCAGGACGCCGTGCAACATGACCCGCTACAACAAAGAGCTGTCCATGGTCAAAATCCCCAGCAAGACCTCGGCCCGTTACCTGCAGAAGAAGTTCAACAAGTCGGAGAAGTACATCACGTAAGTAGCAAGCTTAGCATACAGAGATAACACACTTTAAATGGGAGAAAGATGCAAACTCACCACAAAGAGGATCTGAGCGTCTTTGCTGCCCACGGTGTCTCCAGTAGCACTTTTAATGACGCATTTAAAGAACTGGAGTATCTGTGAAAAGCTGACCTTCTGCAATACACATGTTCTCCTCCCACACAGTGGTTGTGTTGCCTGTTTTCTCAGCCTTGCAGGAAATAGATGGGCTGTTAATTGCCAAGTGATTGTCTGGTGGTGGATTCTTCTGGACTAATGCCCAATTTTGCCTTTTTGCAGAGACAATATCTTGGTGTTGGATGTGTTCTTTGAGGCTTTAAACTACGAGACCATCGAGCAAAAGAAAGCTTACGAGGTGGCAGGCTTGCTGGGTAAGTTTTACTTAATGTTAACTTTATTTTCCAAACCTGGATCCAGTTTACATTAGTCACAGTCATGCTACTTTTGAATAGGTGTGTTAATTCATGGGAAATGGCCTACTCTGAGTCATGGCAGAAGATCGAGATAAGCTAATTGAAAGATGTCTGATTGGACGGTCATGGTGTGTGTGACAAGCCATCAACAAAATGTCGGCACTGTGACATTAGATTTTACTGGCAGTGGGCTACATTTTTACAATTTTGTCAGTTAAGTCACAGCATCTATAAATGAAAAGTGGGAAAATAGCCTCTCCACAATCTCTGACTGAACATCACAAGGTCATTTGTTTCAGTATTGACCAAGTAATTGACAAAAGCAGTAATCTTTGGAAATCTTCTGGGAGTGAAGTAAACTAAAACTTGACAGGTGTTAATAAACGATCACGTTTCGCAGCTGTTTCTTCAGGTTTCACGCTGTATACCTGTAAACTATTATATTTCTCTTTGTGTAACTGTGGCTGTGGCCTACAGGTGATATTGGAGGCCAGATGGGTCTGTTCATTGGAGCCAGCATCCTGACCATCCTGGAGCTGTTTGACTATGCTTATGAGGTCAGTCTAAAAATGCTGTTTTCACACTTTTGTTCTCACATGAATGTTGAAACATCTAATTACGCCAACACATCACTCCTCTAAAGGGTCCTACTCGGAGCGATAAACATTGATAGCTCTCATTTTGGGTTTTTCCGTGAAGAGCTGGAGCATCCGTTGACCATGAAAGCTGACAACAAAAGCAATGTCACTGATGCAAAAAGCAGATTTGACACAAAGAGCTAGATTTAGTTCAGAAGTGGCGTGAGATGAAGGAATGTGTGCTGGTGCTTTTCCCATTACCTTTGCTCTACTGTGTGAAGCTCTCTTTAGAGCTGCTTTCAGCTGCGCAGAGTTCTGGCAAGAAATAATAGTCTTTGTCTCCCCGAGGGGTGTGGAAATACAGAGGGAAAGTCATTTTCAATTTTTATTTTTATTTTAATGGCCATAATAGAGTAATGGGGATAAGAAACCCTCATGTCACTGACATAAGCACCTCTAAAGCTACTTTTAACAGTTTGCATGCTTAAATGATTGTAATAGTGTAGTGTGTTGCCATATGCCACCAAATTACTATTAATTTTTTTTTTCTGCTTTGAAGTCAAATGTTCCCAACTGTTATAGAAGCTCTCTTCTTGTAATTATTAAGTGATGCTTTTCTGACTTATATTTCCCAATCTGCAGGTGGTGAAAGACAGGCTACTGGATTTACTGAGCAGAGAGGAGGAGGAGGAGAGTCATGGAGAGGATGTCGTGAGAGTGGCCTTTAACCCCTCCCTTGTCAATTCTCCTTACAGAGTGCAATTTCATGCACTCTGACCATGCATATCAAACCTTGCCCTGTCATTACACCTCCACACAAGCACGGAGAAAGAGCGCCCTAGGAAATCTAGAACTGTGTTCAGACCGACGGTAGCATGCCAATTTAATGCCCCAAAAAAAAAGCTCTGCTCTTTGAAGGAGTTCTCAAAGAATCCAAACGGCGAAGAGGACTCTTTTGGGAGCAACTATTCCCCCCTTAACAAACGCATGCATGAACATCTAATCTTAGTTAAATCAAGAATACCAAAAGCTGCTGTACAGGGAGAAGGTTGGGGGTGGGGTATCTGCTGCGTATCAATAAAAGGTGCCAGTGGCAGCACCCTGCACCCTCTTGAATAAGAATAAATAAATAAACCTGCTGTGCCTTAATTGGTTCATTTGTTGACTACAAACCATAGAGAGGCAGAGAGTCTGACATTCAGGAAGTTACTGTATCATATTAAAGCATATTATAAAGTGCTCCAGTACAGAGCTCGATGGTAAAAGTCACATCTTTTGAATACATTGGGTTAATTTATTGTCCTGTTCACAACCAATCTATTGTGACTGGGTTGTGCTGGCATGATGCCGGCTAGTTAGCATGTTAGTGGCTAGCTCTCCAGCCAAAGTAGTAGCTCAAAAAGTAGTCACCTGCTCACCAGAAACACCTATTTCACAAGGATGCCCAAATGAATATTGCTTTGCCACTCTCTAGTCTGAACGAGCACTAAGACTCTTTCAATCTTTTTTTCCCCAGAGTTCCTGTGACCCGGTGGCAAACCACTCGGAGTCCATCAGCCACACTGTGACAGTCCCCCTGCAGACAACGCTGGGCACCTTGGAGGAGATTGCCTGCTGAGGCCCTCCACCCTTGTCCCTCAGAGCCACACACACCCAGAGGCTGCCTCCACTTGGTGGCACCACATCCTCTGTTAGGGCATCCTGCAGGTCCCTAACAGGGGAGGGAGGACAAAAACAGGGACTGGCCTAAGGACAGTGTTGCACTCTGTCAAACCGCCCTGTCTGAGGCACTAATGGGGATTAAGGAGCTGTCAGCCGGACTTATCGGCCCTCTCTGTCAGCCTGCACTGCACTGTGGCCTCCATTGTGCCAGACCAGTGCAGTGGGATCCGTGTCTCCACATACAGAGAAAATCAGAGACTAGGTGGGACAGCTACCCATGAAGGGGGATCACCCCCTGTGCAGCATATGTAACAAACACATTAATATGTCGCTCACTGCCAAATGAACTGTACAAACTTGGTTTTGAACATGCATGCGTCAATCTATCTTGCTCTCTTTGCTGATGCATATGCTGGACTGCAGTGTTGCTTTACTGTACATGTGTGCCGTTTGTCTCTCTCTCTCTATCTGCAGGAAAGGCCTGTGACGAAGGCCCAGGTGAGATATCAAACTTCGAATGTACAGATTGAACTTATGGTTGTTTAAAATCATAGTTCAGATGAGATCATACCCTCGGAAATCTATTCTAAACAGCAATTTATTATTTATTATTTAACTGTCTTGGAGGGGAAGGTGGTTGGTGATGCAAGACTATTACTGAGGGAAGAAAACAAAACAAATTTGATCAATGAAAATAGTGAAATCTGAATATTTTGCAGTCTGCATATTCTTTTCACCCGTCGGATTCAGTTTAGTCAGTTTACTAAAAGGCATGTTTGCTATGTGACTCCAGGGGTGTTAAGCCGTTCCCTACAGATATCTCTAAAGGGATGTCGTACTCCTACTGTCAATTTATATGAATAAATTGCTTCTAGCTGCTGCACCTCAACCCAACACACGTCTAAGAGTTAGAATCTGAATTTATTTGCTTGCCAGACAGCCATGTACAAAATACCGCTACAAATGAATACGCCCAGACTGTTGTCAAACCATTATTTCATTAAGAGAATGTTATTTCAGACGGCTGTTACCACTTTATCAAAGGTGGCATTATTTTTTGTTTCACCAAAAAAAAAAGAGATCTTATAAATGATGACAAAGCACCATGAGGAGGGTTTAGCTGGGATGTGTTTTTGGGAAACAGGGTGATGTGGTGTAAATGTGTTTTTGTTTCGGGTACCACGCAGACCTGAATCATATTTAATCTAAAATAAATCCAGTAGAACATTCACTCCAGGTACAGAAGTGACTTCATATTTGTCACATTTTTTTTCATGTTACTCTTTAGGTGAGAATGTTATGTAACGGGCAGTAGCATTTAGATGGAAGTTGAATGTCATGCTTACCACGAAGGACACATTTTTGTATGAGCACCAGGCTTCCTTTCCAATACAGGTCTCTCTGAACCTTCAGTGTCCTCGGAAAGTTACATAATACGGCTTCACACCAAAAGCTTGTGTGAGATCAAGTGAAAGATTTAGTGCGTACGAGTCCATGGTCATCCTAGCTTGGTCGCTATCATCATGGTAATGTACATTACAGGTAGGAATGAATTCAAGTGCTTTGTGAGACTATTTGAATTATGATTTCCCATCTGTGGCTCAACCTGCTGTCTGTGTGTACTATTTTATGTTGTGGCTTCAGACGGACACAATCTCCAGCCGACCTGCAGGGGTGTGAGACTTAACGTGTCTCTCGTCTCTTCATGGTAACGACACTGGCTGATTCTTGGCTCTACTTTGGCTTCAATTGTTATCGCAGGACAGCGTTCTCTCATTTTGTGATGCCGCATACAGTGTGTGTTTTTAATGTGAAACAATTCAATTAAAAAGTTGTTTTGCAGTGATGGCGTCATGTTGTGACAAGGCTGAGCAAGGCATGGCGATATTTTCTAACTCACACTAAACACAAATACAGGTGAATTAAATGAATTGAATTAAATTAATTTTGCTAGTATTTTCTGTAACTAAAACCTCATGAAGGTTCTCGACTAAAAAGTCAAATGATTAACAAAGTTATTATACTGTTTGGATTCTCCAGGAGGAGACTCAAACAGGAAAAATGTCAATGTCATGATGATCCTAGGAAAAGTCAGGGGATCTCCAGCAGGATTTGTCTTTTGGGGATCATGAATGTATGTACAAAATGTCATAATGATCCATTCAATAATTGTTGAGATACTTCAGTCTGGACCAAATGGTTGGACAGACAGAGCAGGATTACCTCCCTAGAGCCATGCCACTAGCGTGGCAAAATAGAAATAAATAAAAGAGATGAGATATGATATGAATAAGCTGATATTAAATAAAACTGAATAAACAGAAAAATAAAATAGCATAAGTGCAGTGAGGGGTATGAATAGCCACAATTGTATTCTAACAAAATGCATTGGTAAACTGAAGAGTTTTAAGCCCAAATGTAGACGAACCAAGAGTCTGAGTGCTTGTGTAGCCCAGTCTTCCTCTGTTAAAGTGTCATTTCTTGGGAGGTTGGGAGTGTGACCTGTGAACTGACGCAGGGACATTCTCAACTAGAGAATGACAACCCCTGCAAAAAAAACAACTGGAGAATAACAAGCCAAGCTGGATCAAATGTAGCTTGGCAAGGTGTAATTTCCCTCTGACATCCGTGCTACATGCACTTAATATTGGCTGAAGTATTCCCCCATTCAGCCTCAAATGATTACAGCAGCTTGGACAATGTAGGGGGGCACGCCACAGCAGCGGAAAAATCAGCTTGAAACCTGATTTAGCATGCTGTTCAGGTTTTGTTAAAAGCTTTGCTTCTTTTAAGGGAATCCAGCAGCAGCAGTGGGCACTGAAACTCAGAGCGCTATTTCTATCATATATATATATATATATATATATACAGTTGTGTGAAAAAGTGTTTGCCCCCTTCCTGATTTCTTATTTTTTTGCATGTTTGTCACACTTAAATGTTTCAGATCATCAAACAAATTTAAATATTAGACAAAGATAACACAAGTAAACACAAAATGCAGTTTTTAAATGAAGGTTTTTATTATTAAGGGGGAAAAAAAATCCAAACCTACATGGCCCTGTGTGAAAAAGTGATTGCCCCTCAGCACATGATTAACATTGTGAATTCAAATAGAATGACTTGGTTAGGTTTAAGTTTAACTTCAGGGCAACGGTTGCATTTTTTGAGTTAACCATTGTTGAAAATGATCCCTGGGTTTTGGTTTATTTATATTAATATTCCACACATCGCCAGACTCATCTGGGAGCTGCTGCAGGCTGGGAATTCAGCTTCAGTTCAGCCTCAGTTCATTTAGCAGATATTTAGGCAGAGGAAATTGCCTGCAGGTCAGCCATAATGCATCAACAACTTGTAAACTTACTGGTTGCCTTGGCAGAGTGGAAACACACAACAGAAGCTTCACAAGTACTGAAAAGAGCATTGTAGAAACAATAAGATCAAATACTGCTATGTGTTTAAAGTGTTTCATGCATTCTTTTTGTATGCTAAAGCAAGAAGAGAAACAGGAGCTAGGGTGTATAACTAATGTCAAAGTCCAGCAAGTACTAAAAGAGTTTATGCAACAAAATCTATCAGGATTCCCTTATAATTATATGTTCTAAGTTATTGTGTTAAAAGCAGGAGAGTGCACACACAGTGGTTCAGCATTAGTGTTTCTAACCTTTTACTTTATTGACAAACATATTTGTTGAAGACTTTCAAAGGTTTTGCTCCAGAATCTTTTTGGGTTCATCAACATAAAATAAGCCTTTTGTTTTGTACGTCTCTTTAGAAATGGGAGACCTCCGCTTTAGTTTTAAAAAAGGTTAGGCTTTTGGTTAGTAATTTTTTTCTCTCCTTTTGGGGAGATGAAAAACTACATCTGGCACAGCATGGCCCTCAAATAAAGGGGAGATGGGTTTATCTCTTCCTTTGTTGCTGTCTGATCAAGAAGATAAAGAGGTGGTGTGTGTCAAGTTTAAAAGATTCAGCCTTGAAACTAAATGCTAAAGAAGCCAAAAACCTCTTTGCATGTTGCTCCCCTGTGCTTACCATAGCAACAAAAGTCTGTCAACACACATTTGATCATTGCAATGTGTATTAATATATTAAATGCTTCATAAAAACTGCCAAAATGTCACGTCATAATGTAAAAACAGTGCAAACTATAGGCTGCATCTAATTTTTGTGTACGAAAATTACTTGAAATTACTTGAATTGATTACTGAAATAGTCCATTGATGTTTTGTCCATCGACTAACTCATTTCAGCTGAAGTGCAAATTGTTAAACAAGGTATTTACATGAATATAACACGACTTAAATATGAGCGCAACTGAATTTTCTTTGTTAACGAGGTTGAAATGACTAGTTTTGGGGCAGTCGGGCAAAGAAGCACATCCATTATTTTCTGATTTCTTTGATTCAAAGTTCACGCATCAATCGGTTACATTCCTTCCTGCCTGAACAGATCGTTTGCCAAATTCTTGTAAACACAGCCTATTTGACAAACTACTCAACATAACTCTGGGACAAGTTACATGACAGCTGCACGTTATCTACTCCAAGCCATCCTGACAAATTGTGTTTGCCATTTTACATCTACAGTGGTGCTACAGCAACATGATATAACTCACAGAACAGAACATCAAGCTGTTAATCAGGCGGCATATGCTTGTAACTCTTGAGTCATGTCAGAGAGAGAAACACAGTAAGAACATTCAAGATAATTGGAGTTTGAACAAAGAGAAATTTGTACATTGAGAGTAAGACAGTCGCTGGAGAGCTGAACGAAGAAAATACAGATCATGTCAAAGACTTAATCAGCAGCTTCATTTCATCTTTTTCACCAGTTTTGACAGTTGACAATGTAGATTTTCCATTTATTTCTCCGTCCTGCAATACAGTCCTACAGGAGCTATTTCCAACATGATCTCTGGAAAACCTTCACCTCAGTTAATGCAGTTAACCTTGATGTCTATTATTTATGTCCATGCAAATATGATGTCACAAAAGCAAAATTGGCGACATAATTGAATTCCTCACTCCAAACAGACACCAAAGGTGCAGAGCTGTTGACTTAATCTTACTGAATGTGATCTGTGTTAGCGCTGACAGAGTATATTACTAAATTCAATTAGAAAATAGTTTGCTCCTCTAGTGAATAGGTGCCTTTTAAAATATTGAAGCATATCTACTGTATATATATGAAATAACGGAGGATCAGAAATGATGTTGCTGCATGGTCTTGTCACGTATGCGCTCACTGACTATTACCTGGGGCTGAATCTTATTTAATTACCTGTTGGCTGTGTTTATTGCTGAGTTGATCGCTGATTTGATTACAAGTCATAGACTAACCCAGGTGTTCTCTTCTTGTGCTCCTAACGAGCTCCTGGGAAATCAGTGGCATTAGTAATAGTTAACTGGGCTAATAATCCATTTGGCCAATGAAACGACACCTGACCGATGTTCGTGCGTCAACGAGCCTGAGATTCTTGAGAACAGTTTTCGGAGAATCTCTGTGTGCCATGATAATAACTGAAACAACACTGCAAACTACATACCTACATACCTCTCAAATCGGCATGGCCTGATGAGCTGAAGCCCCATGAAGATTCCCTTAAAGATTTCAAATTGACTCTGTCGACATGATTCCTCAGACTGACTGGACAAAATGTCGTTATCCAACGATGAAATTCTTGCTGTAACTGAACCAGTGGTGAAACAAGTACTGATGAACAAATACATAAGCAGCATTTACTTTTATAGCTGGTTGAGGCGTAGATTTAACTACTTTATGTACAGTTAGCGAGTTTGGGGCACTGGTTCCAATCCTTGGTCCGGGCACTCTCCTCAGGGTTACAGGATAAACCTCAGAGGTTGTGAGATGATTAATGAGGGTACAAAATAAATAAGAGTCAATAGACTTCATCCTTTTATGGTCAATGAATGTCTGTGCCAAATGTCTTGGCAGTCTGTATAAAAGGCTAGTTGAGATATACTATATATATACTATAAATACCGAATTGTTACCAAGAAAGAATGTGTGTGTCTGTTATTTGACATACACGATCAGGATGAAAAATGATTTGAAATGTTTCCCTGAAAAATATCTTCCTTACATCAAAACCTTAATAAAAGAAGAAAGACCAAACACATCTTGTATCTACTTATGCCGCAGCAAAGTTGCAGAACTTGCACATTATTAGGCGTAGTAGACAGAAGTTATTTGAAACTACAAGATACACAAAACTTAATCATTCTTGCCAGTGCTAACAAAAAGCATGTATTAAAATTTAAATTAGACGAATGAATAATAAACAAAATCGCAAATCCCAAAAACAATCCCAGTCCCGATGGATGAGCAGATGCGTGTTATTGTGTGTGTGCTTGCTCTTCAGTAAAGTGTTTTGTGATGGATAACAGTGCCTGCGAGGGGAGATCCGGGCCAAAGCAATGAAACCAAGGCCACGAGCGAAACCTTTAGAGAGGAGCCTCCACTATTGCAGTCATTTGTTCTCTGGATCATCCATCACTAAGAAAATCTACTTGGTGCAAGTTACATTATGACAACAATGAATCTGGGGAGATTACTGTGTGGCCTTGATGCTGTACAGTACCTAAGAGGCAACAAGATTAGATTTGATTGGCTGATAGTGGAGGAGCGGACCGTGTCTGTGTGTTAGCATAACCAGACGTTGAGTTCTGATTCAATAACAAGTGGTCTTTATCTGTATCACTCCTGAGAAATGTGTAGCTTTTTATTTCATCTCATATCTCACAGCGCAAAAGTGAGTAAACAAAGTGGAAAGTGTCATGGCTCTCAGTGCCTGGAGGCAATTAGAATAAGAATGTTAACATTATCATAACAAAATTATTTTTGGGGTGAAAACATCTTTAACATCATCTCCTAAAATATCCTCGGCTCCAAACTAGGCATCCTAATGTTCTGCTTGTGCCATCTAGTGGTGCTATAGTAGCTCACACAATCCTCCGCTGTCTCCTCTTTTGCTCCGACAGGGGTAGTACGGTGATTAAAAAGAAATGTCTTTCGTGTAACAACCACTAAACTTCATCTGAAGTCTGTCCCAGATTGATTTTCGGTTGTTGTATATAGAAAAAATGATTAATTTATAATATATATTGTAAATGTTTCACTATAATGATGTATAATGACATCTGGCAGAAGCCCTTGAGTACCTGAAATGATGTACTCTGCAGCATACTAATCAACTCATTGGCAACACCGGCCTTCGTTAGCTTCAGATCACAAAGAAGAAACCTACACAAAGGAAGCAGATGGATAATGGCTTGATTCATGATATATTATCACTGTTTGCAGCCAAGAAATCAAATCAAGGTCAACGTTTGTCAGATGTTAAAAGAGATTATTTCCTTTACTCTTAAGAACTCTGAACTCTGATGCTTAAGCTGACAAACATTTTCATTTCTGGGTGATTTTCATCTCGACCCCATAATTCAAACAGGAAATTGAGAGAGAAGTCCAGTCTTTAATCTTAAAGGTCATCCTATTCAACTATCATAAAAAGTCTTCAGATGAGAGCTGATACATTCCACTATATCTTTTACCCGTGTCCTAAAGCTGAATTACATCCAGTCTGACTCATTCAGGGGCTGCTGTGCCAAACACTATATACCAGTAATTGAATTCAGATTCAATTATAACTCAATGTATCATCATCATTATTGCTGCCTCCAAGGCCCAAATGAGTTCAAAGGCTTACCTCAGAGGTTCATGTTAATCTTTTTTTATTATTCATCTACTATCCATGCCTCAGAACACACACTATCACTACTTTAGGCTCTCTATTAATTAAAAAATGTTGACGTCTTAAATCACTATTTGATTGCCTTCTGCCCTCACTTAATCAGGTTTAAAATGTTAGATCTTCTAAAAGGCCTCATTGTGAGCAGACTCAGAGAATCCAAAGCCTATCTGAAACTTAGAAAATGCCATTAATCATCAAGTTCAAATAAACACACAACCTATTACAGGTATTTGCATGGTTCTAATCTGTGCTTTAACTATTAGTTTTGGCCACAAGGTCAAGTATATTTACGGTTATCATGATTAGCTATAGAGACATAACTGTTTCTTTATTTCTGCTGTAAAGTTGGAAATCTTAAAATGCCAGTCTATGGCAAGGGGCTCACTTTTAGAATAAGCCTTAAGTGGCCATTTTTATAAACTGCAGTTTTTGGCTCTTCTGTGTTGGCTTAATTTTTCTTAATTTGTCATAAATATCTCAAAAAAGGTTGGATTATAGTATTTCTTAAAAAAATACATCTTACAAAAGTCATAGTATAGCATGTCGAAAAAAGTCATTCAATCAGGAGAGACTTCATTCGAATTTCACAATAATTTATTACACATTGTACAAATTTGAATAGTGCAACGTCTTTGGCGATTGGACTCCATCCTGAAGGAAGACAATCGAGGGCCGGTGATGCTGAGGTCAGGTAAGGCATAATCCCACTGGAGTGCAGCCACTGGTCCTGGTGTTAATGAAGGAAGTTTCTGCAGAATTATAAACGGCATAGTATAGCGTGTCGAAAAAGTCAAAATCGGTCATAGTATAGCATGTCGAAAACAGTCAAAAACGATCAGAGTATAGCATGTCGAAAAAAGTAAAAAATGGTCATAGTATAGCATGT